TAATACTTAGTTAGAGAGATGATTTAGCTATCATTGGATAATTTGAGCTAAAAAGCCAAACTTGTTAAATCTTTATCTCTAGTATACCCTTTTTGAGTCTAATTTCTTTTTTCTTTATTTAACTACATAATAATTGAGTTTAGCCTTAAAATTAATTTTCCAAACTTGCAACCCTCACTCCTAAGCATGTATATTATTTTAAAAAATATAAATTGAGTTAAGTGTTGAAAAAGGTGGAAAGGTGATGTTGATGTGAAAAAAAAAAAAAGAAGCTCGAGATATTAAAAATCACCTCACTACCTACAATACAAAGAAATTAAATTTGGAGGTGTGAAATTGTGAAAAAATGTGTTGAAAGAAAAAAAAAGTTCAAATGTGGAAGAAAAGGTGTATTAGGAGAAAGAACATAGAGTTGTATAAATAGGTCTTAGAATAATTATGTTCTTAGGGTGATTTGAGCCGTATTATTATCCTGTATCCTACCTTGACCCTAACCATACATTACAAGCTTTATAAAGTCCTATTGATCCCTAGCTTGGTGTTAGTCTACATTAGTGGAGAGAGAGATGAAAAGTAAACTAATGAAAATCTAGAACTAATTTGAAATTTGTGTTGGTATAAACTCATCCGGAGGTCATGATATTTTTGGTAAAAAATTTCACACACACACAAAAATCTATTTGAGAATGTACTTGCATTGGAATTGAAATATGAATTTAAATGATGTCTATATTTTTCCTTAAGTTAATTATTGATAAACATACTTTTGAGAAAATTATAGGGAATCATTGAAGTGGAGTACTTTATCTCTAGTAGTAGTAGTACTAGTTATAGTAGTAGTACTAGTTATAGTAGTAGTACTAATAACTATATTTATTTTAGTTTTTATTAACTGAATTTGATTTTCGTAAGTTAGTTTCTTTTTTATATTTTGCTCAAGGACTAACAAAATATTAAATTTAGGGATGTGATAACTCTATGATATAGAGTTATTTGAGCTTAATTTGGATAGTAATTTAGCTTTGTTCTTGTAGTAATGCATAAAAATTAATAAGTTTTATTTAATTATTTTAAATTATTTATTTCAGGTGAGTCAATCTAATTTTAGTTAATTTTATACTTAATTTGGTGTTAATGTAGTTAAGATAGATTATTATTGATTTATTTGTGTTTTTGATGGTATTTGATGAAAGAAGGAAACCAATTTTGTGGTGCAAACTTCTACTGCACATGCTTCGGTATTTTGGCCATAACATTCTCTACAAAGCTCCAAATGAAACGATTCTTAGACCATTGGAAAGATAAGAGAAAAATTAACAAAACTTGCATAGGTAGCAAGTTCACTGGACATAACTCTTCATGAAAAGTGCATTTGGGATTTCATTCAAGTATCTATACAATACTTCTCATTTGTCAGTTGTGTAAATACTCCCTAAACTTGAGACACTAAGTTATCTTATATGTGAAGTGCTATGTTTTGATTTCTATACTCAATGTGGCATCGAAGAGATCCTAGAAGGATAAGGCGTAATTTAATTTGTTAATTTTATTTTTGTTTTATTTTTATTTGTATTTAATGCATGATCAGCCTTCATCTAACAACAAAGGCTCTAGATGACATAAAATGGGTGAAGAAGTTCATGATGATTGCAATATGGTGCATTCAGGCGGATCCATCTCTAAGACCTCCCATGAAGAAAGTGATACAAATGATAGAAGGAGTTGTAGAGGTCCCAATTCCTCCAATCCAAACCTTATTTATCGGTTTTATCTAAGTTTGTTATAGGTACAAAAAAAAAACATTTTTGGTGCTAAGACTTCATGTTATTCATGTGGCATCTGCTATATACACCAAATTAAAAAAAAAAAAAAAAACTAGTTATGGTGTAGAGATAGTGCATAATTTTCTCCTCTAAATTCTTATTGGTTGACAAATTATCTTACGAAATAACTCCTTATACAAAATTTATGAGCAGCATAGAACAAGAATGTCCCTTTTTTGCATCATGATATTCATAATGCTTGTCATGTCCAATTTTGTCTTCTTTGATAGCAAACCTTCAAATAATTTCTGGTAGTTACTAACTTCACTCAAGAAACTAAAACATTGAAAAGCAAGAACAGTGCTCTTCAGAGAAAGAAAAACCCATTTCTGATTTCCATAAGTGCAGAAGCTAAGTTTATACATTCTGATTGGATTCCATCCAAATACTGACAAGGATCAAAGGTTTTTCCTTTTACCGTCCAAGATATGTTCCTTTTAAACATCTAAGAATGAACTGCTGCAAGGCCTTGAATCCTATCAGTGGCTTGACTTTTTGTTTTTATTACATCTTAAAGACTTGGTCTGTTCTTTGATCAGTTGCGTAACGTTTTAGTGCTTCAACATGTCTCTGTCTGTCCCAAATAAAACGAAACTTCAGTTGACTGACTTGTTTATAAACTAATCCCCCTCTGGAAGATTATAATTCTTGACGGATTCTGCATCTATCTGTTCTTTGTTTTAAGATCTATTTCCTAAGAAGGAAAAGGTCTTAATATGTAAATAATAACTGTCAGTCTAGGCTCAAGAGCAACATCAAGTAGAGTTTTATTATCATTGATTTCACTCTGATATAGCTACTAGGCTGTGAAACAATAGCGACCAATACGTTTTAGATGTCCAAGTCCCACAGCTAAAATCAGAGGACTTCCACTATTAACGATCAAGGGCTTTTCTAGTTTTTTTTTTTTTTTTTTTTTGAAAAGCTGAAGAAGTATTTCATATCAAGAGGGAAAGACAAAAGAAAGAGGGCATACCCTCCCTTTGTACAAAGCTGCAGAGGACAAAAATGCTGCAGCATCAGGGAACCCACAGTTCAAAGGCAACTGTAGAAAAGAGGACTATCGACATAGTAGCCACAACAAAACGGAACTGCTGGAAATCGCTATACATCATATTCAAAATTCATAAACAAAGCATATCAGACTACAGCAACATCCAACAGAAGAAAACAGCAGCTTCCAACAATCAAAACCAGCAACAAAATGAAAAAAGGGTTTTTCTAGTTAAATAGAAAGAAGTTAGAAGCTTTGTACCTAACAGCTTTACATGGAAATTAGTTATAGCCAGTTATGCCTAAACAAGGGATACTAGAACTAGAAGTTGCTAAAAGATTAAGAGAGAACTTTGTACCAGATAAAATAGGAGTTTTCAGCTGTAATAAATGCTAAGCATTTGGTACCTCTGATATTAGCTTATATGCCTTGAAAATAAACACATAATGAAACAGGGAATATTGGTGGTACATATTGACAGTTCAATTACAAAGTGAAATTGAGGTCCAACAGATTTAGTAATTCTCGTACTTACTAGTAGAGGCTACAGCTTACATGGGAGAAAAGAATTAACTAGGGAGCTAGCATAAAGGTGTATTCTCATACCTGGTATTAGCATTGATACAAAAACTTCAGCACTGTGTTTCATCCTTTCTTGGATGCGGTGAAAAAATCACAAGTAATCATATCTGTAAAAATGTGAATCAACAAGCAAAAAAGGATCTGCAGTTCCAAAGAACTTCTGAGAGAACCACTAACAGTCCGGTCAACATATTACAAGTTAGGAATAACATCAATCATATAACCCTAATTTAAGAAAACATGATTTTGCAATTAAACCGAAGACATGAAAGTTCCAAAACAAACCTCAATAGCTAAATAGTTGCCCTTAGCTCTTGACATTACACCCACCAGAAGAAAAGAAAAAATAAATAAATGATAAGAGAAAACCAGAAATCACCATAAATCAAATTACTACAAGGCCTAATTTGCTCTTAACAAATTTTTAACCTCTCAAAAACATCTCAAAGGACAACAAATAAATGTCTTAATTAGGCCTAATTGGCTCATCACCCTAAATTAATGATGGGTGACCTTAAAGGCTTTATATGATAATAATAACATAGGTGAAAAAGAATAATGTGTAACGTCTTAATTTGAATTGTTTGGTCCTATATACAGTGCGGGACTCCAGGTAGAGCATGCTGATTTGTACTATTATATTTCCAAGAAACAGAAGAACGATGACAATAAGACTTTAAGCTATGAAAATCTCCTCTGGATATATTCTTTTAAAAAATTTAAGCTACAGTTTAAACCACTGTATTGTAGGCAAAACAATAGCATTATATCAGTATTAATGGATTGACAATTGAATTCTAAATACAACATATTGATTTATTGTTCCTAAGTTTGAATGTCTACATATTAGCCATAAGCCCTTAACAGAATGCTTTTTCTCCTTTAATTTTTTGAAGGATAATTTTGTAGCACTATAATTAAATTTAAAAGAGCCTCAAAATGGGGTTGGTTTCTGTAGTTGTATAAATATGGATTTGCTTATTCTAGTTATCCAATTCCATGAGCTTTCATGCTCATTGCATTTTGAATGAAAGAGGAAGCCGAGTATTATGTGAGCAAAATCTGAGCCAAGCCTTGCTTTGTGACTGTAATAATTGTAGCAATGAACAAAATACAGCCAAAAGTTTCAAGTCTAGATCTAAAACAGGATTGACTACAAAGAAAAGAATACAATATTCTGTAGAGAAAATATTTCCTTCTGGGACTTATTCTAACAAGAAAAAGTCATTACCAAGACAAAATGGAAAACATCTGCCGGCCCAATAAAAAAACCATTTTCTTTAGGAGGGAGGTGTCTTAAGGAGACTCCCCTAGAGCAAATCAAATGTAGAATATAGTCATTAGACTGCATAAATGAAATATACCGAAATTTAAAAATGATTAGATGAATATCAATAATGAGCCACATTATTAAAAATCATGATGAAAAGTCAAAGATACCTTTGTTTACGTAAAGCAGAAAGAGATATAGTTAGTACCTGGAACAAGGGCCATGACACAGGAGGAGAATATTCTTTCACTTGATTCAAAGTTTATCGACTCTTACGGGCAAAGTCTGTGATCCTTGTTAAGCCTTGAAGAAAAAACCTCCTTCACTTCTCATGGCCTCTGCTTCTCTTTATTCCCTCCATCTCGTGCTAATTTGCCTGTTCCCGTATTGTGTTACAGCCCAAACATACCGCAACATAACATTGGGCTCATCCATAAGCGCTCGCAATGACAACTCCTCTTGGACATCTCCATCCGGAGATTTTGCATTTGGGTTCCAACAGATTGGAACTGAGATGTTTATACTAGCCATATGGTTCAACAAAATACCTGAAAAAACCATTATTTGGTCAGCTAACGGTGCAAATCTAGTGCAAGAAGGGTCCAAAATTGAACTTACCACGGATGGCCAGTTTGTTCTTAGTGATGCAAAAGGAAAGGAGGTATGGACAGCTACTTTGCCTGGTACAGAAGTTGCCTATGCAGCGATGCTTGACACAGGAAATTTTGTGCTGGCTAGCCGGGATTCTACAAACTTGTGGGAAAGTTTTAACCAGCCAACTGACACAATACTACCCGCACAACAATTTGACCAGGGCAACAGACTTGTTGCACGCTATTCAGAAATGAATTACTCAAGTGGAAGATTTGAGTTTATATTACAGGCTGATGGAAATCTAGTTCTCTACACCAGAGCTTTCCCACTGGACTTGGTGAATACTGCTTACTGGTCAAGCAAAACTGTAGGAAGTGGCTTCCAAGTTATTTTCAACCAATCTGGGTACATCTACCTTGTAGCTAGAAACGGAAGCATACTTAGTATGATAGCGTCTAATGGAGCTTCAACTAGTCAATTCTATCAGCGAGCAATTCTTGAATATGATGGGGTCTTCAGGCAATATGTTTATCCTAAGACAAATGGTGCTAGCTCTGGAAGGTCCATGTCATGGTCTTTGCTATCCTCCGTACCTTCAGATATTTGCATGAGCATCACGGAAGACACGGGAGGTGGGGCTTGTGGATTCAACAGCTACTGCGTTCTAGGAACAGATCAGCGGCCGAGATGTGAGTGCCCACCTGGATACTCATTCTTGGATCCAAGTAATCAGATGAACGGGTGCAAACAGGATTTTGTTTCACAAGACTGCGATGGATTGCAAGAAGCAAATCTTTTTGGTTTCAGAGATATGCCCAACACAGACTGGCCACTCTCAGATTATGAATATTTCCAGCCAGTTTCTGAGGATTGGTGCAGGCAGACCTGCTTGAATGATTGCTTTTGTGCAGTTGCTATCTTTAGAAATGGTAATTGTTGGAAGAAGAAAATTCCTCTCTCAAATGGGAGATTGGCTCCAAGTGTTGGAGGAAAAGCTCTGATCAAAATAAGGCAAGAAAATTCTACTTGCAAATCCGTTGGTGAAGGTTCAAACAATAACGATCGCTCAACTTTAATCCTTATTGGATCTCTGCTCCTAAGCAGCTCAGTATTTTTGAATTTTCTTCTGCTGATAGTAACTCTTTTTGTTACTTTGCGTTTCAATAGCAGAAGAAGAAAGATGCTTCAACTCTGTCCAGCAATTCAAGGAATGAGTTTACGATGTTTTACTTATAAAGAGCTAGAAGAAGCGTCAAGTAAATTCAAAGACGAGCTAGGGAGGGGTGCATTTTCAACGGTTTATAAAGGAGTTCTGGATCTTGGTAATAAAAACTTGGTGGCAATTAAAAACCTAGAGAAGGTAGTGACAGAAGGCGAGCACGAATTTCAAGCAGAAATGAATACAATTGGAAAGACAAATCACAAGAATTTGGTTCAGCTGCTAGGATTCTGCAATGAGGGGCAACATCGACTTCTGGTGTATGAATATATGAGCAATGGATCTTTAGCAGACTACCTCTTTGGAAATTCAAGGCCTAGCTGGCACAAAAGAAAACAAATTGCTTTCGGAACTGCAAGAGGACTTGTTTATTTACATGAGGAGTGTAGCAACCAGATCATACACTGTGATATCAAGCCTCAAAATATCCTTCTAGATGGATCCTTTACACCAAGAATTTCTGACTTTGGATTAGCAAAACTGTTAAAGACTGACCAGACTCGAACAGTAACTGGAATAAGAGGAACCAAAGGATATGTTGCTCCGGAATGGTTCAAAAGCATGCCCATCACGGTCAAGGTTGATGTTTACAGCTTTGGCATTCTGTTGCTAGAGCTCATTTGCTGTAGGAAAAATTTTGAGCAGAACATAGAAGATGAGCGTCAAATGGTATTGGCTGATTGGGTATGTGATTGCTATGAAGAAAGGACATTGAGTCTGATCGTTGAGAATGATGAAGAGGCATTGGAAGACTTTAAGACGTCGGAGAAGTATTTGATGATTTCCATCTGGTGCATTCAAGAGGATCCTTCACTAAGACCCACAATGAAGAAAGTCGTACAGATGCTAGAAGGAGATGTTGAAGTCCCACTTCCTCCAGGTGCTTCCTCATTTGTTAGTTAAATTTATATGTCTCCCTGTAAATAAGAATGTAATATATTTTTGGGGCATTCGACAGGTCTATGGTATAATATCTAGCAAATTTAATAATTATGAATGTGGAAAATCTGTTTGTCAAGATTTCCTAGGCATGCATGTATCTAGGAATGAACTATCTTCTTCTTCTTCAGTTAGCTTTAATGTGAACAATTCAAACAGAAAAGGTACATCGTCAACAATTATTCACTTCCTGAATTTCCTTCATACAATGCGTACCCGAAAAGGCCCAGAAAATTGGAGAAACAAATCGTATCAGAGAAATTTTAGATGCATTTATGGCCCAGTTCCGTTAGCATTCCTACAAAGAACACGTCTGGTTTAAAGTATTAAACTGAAATTACACGGAATACATAAATGATCACTGCTGCATGTGAGCTTCGAGGAGAATCAGAAAGGTGAAAAGTAAGAGGATTAACAAATACATGGTATATAAGATAAAAAAAAAAAAAGATTACAGGGTAAAGAAACCAATATTAATATTGGATTAATATTGAACGACGTACCTACAACTTTGTAAAATGGTTTTTTTTCCTTTCAAAAAGCTTGCATTAAGTCATTTTCATAACTCAGCCTGAGCTGTTATCTAGTATCAGGATCTACATCTCGGACCTTGCAAGTAGCAATTTATAATTATGCTCATACAACAATTCCAAATTTTAAAATGAATGAATGAATGAATGTGGAAGAATCAGTCGGCAACCAGATATGAGAAATCCAAAATTGTTGCACATCTGACAAATGATAAATTCTATCGTTGCATTTAAATGTGGTGCGTGCACATGGCATACAATTTTGTTAAGTATTTGTGAATAATTAATAAATATTTAATTAATTAATGTTGAATATTATTTTAATATTTTTTAATTGAATAATTAAAAAAATATTTGAGATAAGATATAAATTTAAATAAGAATTATCTGTCCATTATGATTAATTACATTTAAATTTAAAAGTAATATCCTATTTTATATCAAATGCAACTAGCAAGATTTGAACTTACATTAACAAAGGCATGAGACTTTTAAAAATATCCTTTAACTACTTCACCAAGGAAGCATCCTTGAACTTGCATTAACAAAGTCATGAGACTTTAAACAAATATCCTTCAACCATTACACCAAGGAACCATCCTTGAGATGAGAGTGCAACAAATAATAAAGACAAAAAAGGTTCAAACACAACCATAAAAGGCTTGATGTGGCACCCACGTGATGCCAATTGCTAAATTTTTTCAAAATTACACTTTTACCCAACAAGTTTCAAACTATTATAGTCTTTTCTAAAAGCATCTGAAAATATGATCTACTTAAAGCTATTTTTGTGTGCATAATATCTATATGAAAGTTTTTGATCCTCCACAACAATAAATACGCATAAGCAAGCACAACATCCTATTTTTATGTAGATTGATGAAGTAGGCTCCTTATGATATAATTTATTTTAAGTTTGTATTAATTATTGAAGCCATGTAAAGGGATTTAATTTTGCTCTTACTTTACACATAACATTATTTTGGATATGGGCACCTATAAATATCAATAGGGTTCTTTAGTAGAACTCATTATATTTTGTGGTAAGTATGAATTGTTCCCATGCTTAAGGATAATGGGAGTTGTACCCATAATCCAAGGTTAAATTAGATTAGATATTTTAATCGATGTTTACACTATTAGTGATGATTACTAGCATGCATATGAAATTTTCAAACTAGTAATATAGGTAAAAAATTAAATATGTCTAATCTTAATTGATTAGAAAATTATATATGTGCCTAATTAAATCTTATGCAATAATATAGTGATATGGCTTCAAAACTAATTATTACTAATTTGACCAAAGGTGCCAAACTTGATCGAAAAAACTATTATCTCTTGCATAAAAACATTCAATATCTTCTTAATGAACAAGAGTTGCTCGATCATCTGACCAAAGAGATGAACCCACTTGAAGTTGGAAACATTAACCAGCATCGCTGTGACCAAGAGGCCTATGACACTTGGTATAAGAGAGACCGTAGTGTGTGCTTTAACATGTTAAGCTACATGCACAATGATCTCATTAGGGAGTTTGAGAACTTCTCAACTACCAAACAATTGCGGGAATAACTAAAATTCAAGTATGGTGGAACCAAAACTACAAGGATTCGTGCCTTAATGCTTAAGTTCAATCAATATGTGCTGAACTCCAAGCACACTATGGCTGAACATTTAAACGCTATGTCAGCTATGACAAGAAAGATGAAAGCAATTGGCTATGACAAGAAAGATGAAAGCAATTGGCTGTGATCTCACAGATAAGCAGCAAGTCTTAGCTGTCATCAAGTCACTCCCAAAGTCCTCATGAAGACATGTTAAACTTGTATTAACACACAATGAAAGCATAAGGACTTTTGATGACATTTCTTGCCATCTAGAGCTTGAGGTAAAGCGTAGAGAAGCTATTCGCAACACTACCTTGATAATGCAAGCTGAAAATCATAAAAGGTATGTTCCCCAATGAAAGAGACAACAAAAAAAAAGGGAAAGACTGGAAATTTAAGGCCCAAAAGTGATGGAGTCACCAAGCACCAAAGCGACAAGCTTGGTGGGAAGAAAGATAAGTCCAATTTGAAATGCTTTAACTATAGTAAAAATGGACATTTTGCTTAAGAATGCACTAAGCCTAAGAAAGTTTATCCTCTAAATTGCTTTAGAACTTATGTATGTTCTCATGTGTTTATAGCTCATTCTCCACTTGGTTGGATTGTAGATACAAGAGCAACCAAGCACATAACCTGCAACCGTGCAGGATATGTAGATTACCATCGCTTACCAACAAATGGACACTTTGTCATGATGGGGAACGGAGAACAAGAAGAGGTTTTAAGAGTAGGAACTTACCAACTCACAATGCCCAATGGGCAAAAATGGCTCCTACATGATGTGGTTCATACTCCGTTCATACAATGTAATCTACTTTCAGTTTTATCATTGATGGATTTAGGATTTAATTTTACTTTCAAGAATTATAGTTTGTCTATTTTTTTTTTTTGAAAACATGTTTTTTGGTCATGATTATTTTAAAGATGGTTTGATTATGTTAGATTTGGATTCTAACAATGATGTTGCTTTTGTTTCAAATTCTTCTTCTAGTGTTACAAATGATTCTATGAAATAGCATGCTAGATTAGGACATATAAGGCCAAATAGATGTCCAAATTTGCTAGAGAAAAGCCATTAGGCTCACTCACCAAAGTTAAACTTCCAACATGTGAGCCATATCTTGTTGGTAAGTCCAGCAGAAAGCCTTTCAGGAATGCTAAAGGGCTACCCATCTTCTAGAACTTGTCCATTCAGACATTTATGGGCCTATGAATGTCAAAGCACACCATGGTGCATCCTATTTCATTACATTCTTAGATGATTACTCATGATATGGATCCATATTTCTATTGTCTCACCATTTTGAACTTTGAATTGTTTCAAATGCTTTATGGTAAAGGTTCAGAATCAGAAAGAAAGAAAGCAAATTTAAGGTTTTTCTCATTGATAGAGGTCATGAATTCCTATCTAATCAGTTCAAAGAATTATGTTAGGAAAAGGGAATATGTCAAAAATTAACAATACCTAGCACTCTATAACAAAATAATGTTACAAAGATAAGGAATCGTATGTTGTTAGACATGGTTAGGTCAATGATAGCACAAGCCAACCTTTCATAAAGTTTTTGGGGGGATGCCCCTTTGACTGCAGCATACATCCTCAACCATGTGCCCTCAAAATTTATTCCCACAACTCCATATGAGTTATGGAATGAAAGTAAGCCTAATTTGGAAGGCTTATGTCCTTGGGGATCAGTAGGGTACGTATATCACTCATATCATAAGTATAATAAACGTAGCCCTAAAGTGAAGATGTGTGCATTTATTAGAGACTCAGAACATTCTAAGGGCTACATGATGTATAGGGAACACCCTATTGGAGGGCTAACTGAGATGGAATCTCGTTATATTGATTTTCTAAAAGATGACTTCCCAAGCATAGATGGAATCTCATTATATTGATTTTCTAAAAGATGACTTCCCAAGCATAGATGAGGTTAAAGAAAGCCTTGAGCTTTATGGAATGGAAAAGCTTCAAGAAAGTGTATCCTAACATGAGAAAATGAATATGGAAACACATCCTATTGAAGAGACTTTTAAGGTCAGTGAGAGTACACAACTTCAGCTCTGCCAAGATTCATAGTTATGGAGAAGTGAACGTGGGCAAATACCCCGTAAACGATTCAAGATGGAAAGTCAGTCTTTCTTTGGTATTCTTGTGGATATTGATAAACCATCTTCCTATGAGGAAGTTTCAAACTAACCGTCATTAGACAAGTGGCTTCCTACTATGGAAGATGAAACGAAATCGATGACTGAAAACCAAGTATACAAGTTAGTTAACCTTCCACCTAGGTGCAAGGCCATCAAAAACAAATAGGTTCTGAAGTTAAAGCACAAAGCGGATGGATCAATTGAAAAATATAAGGCTCGTTTAGTGGCAAAAGGCTTTACCTAAAATGTGGGTATGGATTATGAAGAAACATTTTCTCCTATGATGAGATTTACATCAATTTGCCTTATCCTAGCTATAGTGGCACATCTAAATTTGGAATTGTCCCAAATAGATGTCAAAACTGCATTTCTCAATGGAGTAATCAATGAGGAGATTTACATGAATCAACCAATTGGTTTTCAAACCAAAAGAAAGGAACAAAAAGTGTGTAGCTTGAAATGTTCTATCTATTGCTTGAAACAATCATCTCGGCAATGGTATTTTTCATTTTCATCAAGCCATCATTTTCATAGGCTTTGTGATGATTGAAGAGGATCATTGAGTATATGTAAAGAGATTAGGGAATAAGTTCCTTATTCTTTCATTATATGTGGATGATATCCTATTATTTGAGAACAACATTGAATCAATTGTCACCATTCAAAAGTGGTTGTCTTTCTCTTTCAAGATGAAAGACATGGGACAAGCTAAATACATCCTCGAGGTCAAGATCTCAAGA